TAATGTATTAGTTTCTGGAAGTGGGGTGCGCGATAGACTTACCTCCACGTGGTGCACCCTGGACAACGTATCTTCGCACGGAAAAAAGTCTAACACTCGGCATTTGATTTGACTTCTATTTATTATGATTAGCCTTCAAAAAGGCTATAAGAAAAATCGCCCTCGTCAGGGCGAGATGGCATTTGATTTGACTTCTATTTATTATGATTAGCTTGAAGACGGGCTATAAGAGAAATCGCCCTCGTCTGGGCGAATCACAACGTCTTCAGATCCTCCAGTGGAATGCTGGAAGGATCCAAGTCCAGAAAATCCTAAAAACTTATGATGTAGACATTTTCACAATTATGGAAGCAAACATTTCGGATGACAAAATTAGTTTTTTTCACGCGTACTCTTTCTTCTGCAATCGGAAGAAGTCGAAGTAAACTGTGACGGGCGGATTAAGGTAGCATTATATATATTGCCTTCAATGTATTAATTGGATTTCAACTATGAAAGTACCCCCGTTTATCGCTTCTAGGAAAATTTCAAATAATATTTGAAATATCTATTACACATTTTAAATAAATACGACCGCTAATACCCAGTGGGTCTATCACTCCATCTACTGCATAACTTTATCACAAAGTTATGTCCGTCCATGTTTACAAAAATTCTGTGTAAAATGGACCATTTGAAATTTAAGGCTAACCCTTATTTCATTTTCCCTCGAAAAAATGAAATGCGAACGTACAAGGTCACACAAAGACAAGGACAATCAATTGACTTCAGTTTGAGGTGAATTATGAATGAAAAACCGCTGACTATTATTCCAATTATTCTGACCTCTTCGCATATTTAGTACCTCAATTTTCTTGGAACTTTCACTATTTTTAAGTAAAAAGTTAAGAGTTCTAAAATTTTCTGAAGGTGAAATTTTGGCTCTGTTAAATGATAGTGATTAAGGCCTCTGAATAACGGATGAAATTTCTTTAGTAGTAAATGACGAACTATTTACAAACTTTGCTAATCGAGTTAGTATTAAACATAACCCGGTGCATATTTCTAATTTCAAGTCGAATGACTGATATCGAAGCCAATTAAAGAAGTAAGCGCCGTGCCTCAAACAAGTCCTTTTTACTTTTGAATGACTCATTTCTGAGAATTGAAGGTGATGTGAGAATGCTGAAAACTAAATTTAATTTTCTGCGTCCCACGAAGTCATATTCACTTCTAAAGTAAAAGACGGGTGATTTCAAAACAGTAAAATTCGTATTATTATTAACACTTTTACCTACGGTAATGAGACAAATTTTTAAAACTGCAAACTTTGAGGGAAAGTAATTGAAATCGATTTACAATAAGTCCAACAACCGCATACAGTTAGGGTAAAGCAGATTCTTCCTCAATCTAATTCTTGGGATCAAATTGTATAATGTTTGCTAAAGTAGAGGTTCACAATTCAAATTCAATTATCTTTTCTTTGGACTGCTAATCTGATTCTAATCCACGAAAGCCAGTGTTTATTGATCGACTGCCTCACTGTGGATGGTTGGTCTTGCTACATTAGTCTAATTTTCTTCCGAAGTCGTTATATTAATTGATATTCAACTTCTTTCAAATAAAACTCTACCTACCTCACACCATTAAGCCCGTCCATTTTTATTTTGGATTTTCACACAAACACAATTATTATTTCTGCACTTGTAAAATTTCTTCTCGTTTCCTCATTTCCTCCTTCCCTCATCTCTCTTACTCGAATCACCACCGTGGTTTATTCCACACACTTTGGATATTATTATTAGCTGACAGCTATACTTCTACCTTCAATTTCGATTTTATATCTTTTCATTACGCTCTGATTTATGAACTATCAAATATTAACTTCGAAGTCAAATATGTTCCTTTCAAAATTATATATATACATATATATCTAAAAATTAAGCATTTAAGGAACTTGTTAAAAATTAATGAAATTCTTTGTTTACTGTAATTTGTTTTAAATATCATATGGTTATCAAATAAAAGTATTGGTATATAATTTCAATGACGATGCAACAATGCTTTAATTAAATATTCTCTGTAGCATCAGTGAAATTAATCTAATTTAGCTTAAGCTTTTTGAAGAGTTAAATTCTAAACGCTCGGCACATCAATTAGTTAATTTAGCCCTGGGTCAAATCTAGGTCTACCGACATGTAAACCATAAAGACCCCACTGTCCAATGTGCATTAAAGGATTAAAGAAATAATTACGATTTTTTGAGCTATTAGGTGTTTATTATCATATAATTATTCGAAATTCCAGTTAGTTGCAAACGAATCTCAGAAATAAGCCGTAACATTTGTGTATAGCTTCAGTATTGTCTATTGCTCTCTCAAGAAATGCAAATAACCACAAAAGATGGCATTTTGCACATTTGAATGAAATCATCAAAAGTGACATTAGGTTCAATGTCAGTCCCCCCAAATCATCTTTTGCTAATTATTTTCTACCAGTAAAAGCATTATATTCATTTGTGCGAATGCTAACAGTGATGGAAAGACCGCTCAGTTAAAAGAGCACTCAAATTCACAATCGCAAGCAATCGACAAGCATCTCTGATGCTCGCATCCGTGTTTGAAGGCATTGTATTCGCCCAATGCCACAGTTTAAGGCCAAAACACAAGGCAGTTTGTGTTTTTTTCATTACAATGACTTTCATGCAACTTCAACTCAGCTTTGACAGGTCTTTTTGCCACTAATAATTTACTAGTTTCATATTGGAATAAAAGATGCGTCTTGTACTGGTGACCTAAAAGACCGTTCATACTTCACACATTATTTTTCCTGTGAAAACTTGTCAAGCCAAGCTGAGAGAGTTTGCACTCATCCGAATAACTTCAAAGTAAAATATAATTGCCTCAGTGAAATATCTGTTAACTCATCTATATCAATAGGATCAATTTCATAATCATCTAAATTAAATCAAAATAGCATTATCAACTCTAATCTAATTTAATCTAAAAGCTACTGTAAATAATTCGCGAAACCAATTAGTCATGTGACTTTCGGTATATTACTTGATCATATAAATTCCTTTTTTTCAGTAAATAATTAAGGCCTCAGACCGTTCCCTAGCAGTAATGCAGACTAACAAAAGAAAATAGACCGAATGTACTGAAGCGTCTTGCTGGTAGCGTATGGGGCTGTGCACGCTCAACTCTCAACACCACTTACAAGATGTTTTTCACCAATAATGCTGTATGTTTGGAGACCACTCATAACAGCCACAGAGGTGACTCTCAAACCCCTCGTACAGCCACAGAGTATCACTCGAGAAGGCACACAACCAAGCATTACGACTTATTACTGGGAGGAATAAAATCAACACCCATTGATGCAATGCTCCAAGTTACAGAAGATAGAATTACACACCCATTGATGCAATGCTCCTGGTTAAAGGGAGCACCACTATATATTCCCTCATCAAAGTGAAGGCCAGAAGCTCCTGTATGAGAAGCTACTGCACATTCCCGTGGACAAATTCTTTAGCACCTATGAGAATAGACCAAGACATCTGAAATCGCAATTCGTCTTATAGACCAAGACATCTGAAAACGCAATCTGGTTTAATACAATCACAAATCAATGACAAACCAAAAAGCCTCCCTCTTCCCATGATACAAATCGATGATAAACCAAAAAGCCTCTCTCTCCCCATGAACCTATTGACAGACACTGATGCAGTGTGTTGCACCCAACTGCTTGACCTTAGCAGACATTGATGTAGTGTGTCGCACCCAACTGCGTCTTCAGGAAATCAAACACTCCTCCAGAGCAAATGCGCTCCCACTAGACAATCAATGTCAACTATCCTGCAGATCAATGGCTCCACCAATCAATGTCAACTATCCTGGAGATCAATGGCTCCAAGTGATGTTAACTATCCTGCAGATCAATGGCTCCAAGTCTTCACCGGGTCATATATAAGTCTGCACTGTTGAGGCTGCAAAACTTACTGGCCCTTGAGACAATCAATGTTAACTATACTGGAGATCCCCTCAGTCTTCAGGAAATCAAACACTCCTCCAGAGCAAATGCGCTCCCCTCAGTTGATGTAGTGTCGCACCCAACTGCTCGACTTCTTCAGGATGTAGTGTGTTGCACCCAACTGCTCGACTTCTTCAGGAAATCCTCCAGAGCAAATGCGCTCACTGGTCCTTGAGACAATCAGGTCAACTATCCTGCAGATCAATGGCTCCAAGTCTTCACTGCGGGTCATATATAAATTGAGACAATCAATGTCAACTATTCTGCAGATCAATGGCTAGTCTGCACTGTTGAGGCTGCAAAACTCATTTTTCAGGAAATCACTAGACAATCAATGTCAACTATCCTGCAGATCAATGGCTCCAGTGATGTTAACTATCCTGCAGATCAATGGCTCCAAGTCTTCACACATCCCGTGAAAACCAAGCAAACGTTGGTGTAGGTGTCACCTCTGAACTCTTCTCTTTCTATGCAGCAGTGGGACATAATAGATCCGCTTTCGAAGGAGAAATAGAGGCCATTAGGATAGCACTAAGCCAATTATGTTGACTGGATACGAAATTCACCCAAGCAGTAATACTTTCATACTTACAGTCATCAATAAACTCAATTGGAAGCAGTGAGCCACCCAAAACAGCAGAGATAAACGAATGTAGAAAACTTTATCAGCTACTGAGAGAAAAAACAAAACAGTGGTCCTACAATGGATTCCTGGTCACTGTGTCATTAAAGCTAATGAGCTTGCTGACGCACTTGCTAAAAATAAGACAACGATTTTGCAATGCATAGACCGGCCGATGTCTTTCCACACAATGAAAGCCTTAATCAGAAGAGAATTCCAGACCTCAAGGTGCAATGAGCTTAAAGCTCGAACAAAGGAGAAACAGCGGACAGTGTCACTCTACGACATAGCCGACTGGCCAAGAATAGAAGCCGTTGCTGCGTTTAGACTACGTACCGGACACGATTGCTTGGCAAAACACCTTCACAGATTGGGAGTATACACTCAACCCACATGCCCCTATGTAACCTACAGGAGGAAATGGAGAAGACCCACCTGATACGATGTCCAGCCCTAAAGACAACGACGGAAAGCCAGAGATACTGGGAAGCAAGAAGACAGCTAATGAACTGGTATTAATTAACTGCTATAAATGTACCCCCCCTCCCTTGGGGGAAGCTGAAGTCAAAGTGTAAGGGCTAATGATAAATATCATAAAGCCTGCCATTTGAAATAAATAAATTTTGGGTGACCACCTCCAGGAATTCCAAAATAACCCAAGCATATGCTGAAAATTCCCATGCTTTACTACAACAACCAGATCAGTTGGGAATGGGGGCATTAAATCCCCGAAATGAAGCAGAAGAAATTGTTTGGTGGTGGGGAAGAGGCGAAACAATAATAAGCACACCCGGATAGGAAGTAAACTCATTTCAAATCACTGTCATATCGCATTATATTGATAGAAATCGGCAAGATAATAGGGAGTTTTCAATGGGAAATACGTTGAAAGAAAGGTGACAGTTCGAAAGGCTATTAAATAATATAGATTAATAGGAAGGTATGCATCCATATACTTATCGATCCATCTTCCTTCCTCATTTAGATCATAATTCTCTTGGTCACCTCTTCTTAAAAGAGGTACTTATGTGTAACTCTGGTAATACTGTGGTGTCCAGTTATAGTACGTAGGTGCTTGAGCATATTGTGGTTGTTGTGGCACAACAGTTTGCATCGGAGCATACGCACTCATAGCTGGACCAAGTTGAGTATTTGGAGGAAGTACGATCGATATTTGTGGTTGGTTATTAGGATCATAGTAATCTTCTGCCATTTGCCCCTCTATAACTTCAGGTTGAGCGGGTTCTTGCTTTGGAGCCTCGAGCAAAATAATCATTGGCTGTTGAGGCTGCTGCTGTTGTTGGTCTTTTTGGGAAGATTGGTGGGGGTTCTTTTTACTTGATTCTCGTTGAGATACATCGGTTATAGTTGACCTAGCTCTTGAACCTTTAGACGAATAGCAGCAAACACTCCTGTATCGACAATCTTTTCCACCATGACAACAATGGTGAGGTGGAGGTGGCGATGCTTCGGTCTTAGAAAGCTGGGCAACAGATCGTCGAGACGATCGATGAGTCTGTAATTGGGACTTTGATCGCCGATTTCTAGACGATCCTCTATGTTGTTCACCGTCAGAAATCCAAGATGCAACTCCAGACGATGAACTTGATGTAGACGTGCTACCGGATGCAACCGAATACTGTGGAGAAACATCTCTTTTACTTTGGTACCTAGACTTGTTGCGACGATAGTGTCGATATGGTGGCACTTCACGAATCACCTCTTTGATTACAGTTTGGTATGGTTGTCGTTCTCCATATCTGACAGGTGGAAAGATGCTTTGGGGAGGGGGAGGTGGGTAATTCGATGAAGGTCCAATTTTTGGTTCACTTGGTGCTGTCACTGAGGACGGAAATTCTTGTCTGGGTTCTGGGTACTGTTGTTGTTGTAGTTGAACTGGAGGCGGTGGGGTTAGGGAAATTGGCTGTTGACCAACTGCTGATTGGTTAGCGTTTGCTTGTGTTGGTGGCTGTGGTGTCGGTGGTTTGGATTTGACCTGCTCTTCAATCTCCTGATGCTTGACAGAGGCTTTAACAATTACTGGCACCTTAACAACGATAGGATCTACGTTTTGGTCATTGTAACGATCCGAATCCCTGCTTGATGGGTTTGGAACTAACTCGAGATGGGTCTTGGGTACGTGACCTGTGCGTCCTGATGGAGCTCGTAGGCACCACCATGAACCAGCATCATCCAGAACCTATTTTAAATCAACGAAGTAAATGTGCATTTTAAAAGACCAAAATGTATAGTCATAACGTTACACTGTGCAAAACCACTTTTAAGGAATGAGGTTAAATTGTGAAAACTAACTTTAATCACACTTGAGAAATAAACCCAAATGAGTAAATTCTCTCATTTTTCTGCAAAATAGTTATTTAATGCATTTGCCCCTTCATAAGGTCTATTTTTCGCATTTCAAATAAAAAGAAAGTTCACTTCAACGTTGGCTCACATGGAAGTATTTCAAGTGTTTACCTGTTCATTATTAGCGGTTGTAACAATGCTTGTCTAATGCTCAATTCTTCCCATCGCATTTTATTCTCAATGAGTCACTTTAACCGAAGGTCGCATAAGCTGACGGTGGATATTTAGCAATATTAATTTCCAGATTTCCCAATTCATTACCGGTAATATTATCGATAATGAAAACTGTGGTCATTCCCTAATAGAATATGGGATAATAAGAAAGGTCCCGAGCTCTTAGTGGGAAAGGCTTCCCTGAAAGTTGGGCAAAGGGTGAAGAACACTTGGGTTGTGGAAAATATCTAGAAGCCTCTCTGATAGGAGATTCGCATTGCAGAACCTCTCGTATTGACCAGAATTAACCGATGTGGCTGCCTACCCACGTCACTGGGTATGCTCAAGTAAGAAACAACCTCCTGAAGCCTGACTTTGTAGTTGTGTGGAGGTTGATCGTTAGTGAATAAGTTTTGCAAAACTTATATTGATCAAAGGAGTGATATTGTAGAGTCACTCTGATGACACGAAGGCAATGCGATTGGTGTAACAAATATGGGAGAATTCGAGGGAACTTGCAGAGCGCTAAGTGAGATTTTCAACACATCCCTTTAAAATTTAAACGAATGGTTAACATCTTTGCTTTGCAATGTAAGATGATGGATTCCATTGAGAGCTCATAGGATTCTACTTACGCTATTGAAAATATGATTCCAAATTCCTATTTTTTCTGGGATTCAATCTGCTACATTCAATATTCACTTCATGACGCTATCAGTGATTCAGCTATTTTTAGTAACCTCTTGGTCTTGGATATAGGGAGATGCAAAAAAACAGAGGTGACGTAAATTAATTAAATGGACATCCATTTTCGAAAATTATGAATAGAACTTTGCTGTCTTTGAGTCTATAAATCAGATTTCAGTTAGCAACAAACATCCAGAGTAACGAGGGTTGCTTCCATCTCGACGATGAGCCCAAAATTTCAGTATTAGCGAATGCTATACGGAATTAACATTGGTGATGGGGAGATCTGAAACTTAATGCTGCCAGACTTCAAATAGTCACAATAACTCCAAAGTATGCTTTCTAATTGACCGCATTTATTTTACATAACCAAACCGGTTGATTTTTACATTATTCGGTTACTAAAAACGATAGGAACTGACTAAAAGTTATTTTGTATGGTTTTGTAAAATAGTAGCACCCAATATTGACATACTGAATAGTCACTTTCTCAATAATCCATAAGGGAATACACCTGGTAAGCGTTCAACCAGGTGACGTCTTTTCGATTATGTTAACAAAGGATTAAGTGTTTTTGTATATTCTTTCAAAATAGATTAATTTATTGCACACTGATTTATTTCTACTGCTTACTGATCAAAATGTATTTCAGAATGGGTTATAATTAAATTTAACACACCCGATAATCATCTTTCATTATCCTAGGAAAGCCAATCAAAGTTAACCATTTTAATGACACGTTTGACGTTATAAATCCTATTCCAAATGCTTTATGCCTAATAACGTAAGTGATTACAATAATAAATGAATATGATTGAAAATATTTTCATCCAATTATTAACAATCTTGTAATTCAATTTCGTTTATGATTATGACAACTTTACACAAGAAAAAATCCTTATTCCAATGAATTAGATAAAATTCGATTCGAGCATACGCTAGTGTAAAAACGTAAAATTGGCATTTATATGCCTTTTATTGACTTTTTAATTAAAAATTGAAGCTAATAATGCGTCATACAATCTACAAGAAAATTAATTGAATGTCTAACTAACACTAACATTAAAGTTTAAATGAAATTAATCGGATATATAGAATGAAACTATTGAAGCACTAGAAATGGAAAGTGAAAATACTTGAGATTACAAATATGCAAAATTGATGAATGACGAGGATGAAACAGTAATTATAAGTATCCATCCAGAAAAATAACTCATGCTGGAAAAAATTTAGATCCCTTGGCATGCAAAACAATCATTTTCATCAGTCAAACACATCCTCTTCGAATTGGCAGTCGTGAAATAAGTAAGCAAAAAATGGGTATTTTAATAGTCACTATTAAAATTCATTTTGAGTGATCCCTAATCGTTTCCTCTTATGTTTCCTGCCTGCTCTAACAGGTTTTAATTATTAAAAAAACGTTACTAAGTTTCTTTACTGTAAATAAGTAGCGTCTTGGTTCTCGGCCTTTGAAGGAAACATAGGGAAGAAGGAAATAATTCGCTAAGTTCAGCTACGTTTTCAACACAAATCGGAAGAAATAAAATCTGTTTCTCAGGCTCTATTTCCAATATTCTTTCGATCATTTTCATAAAGTTGAAAAAGTTTTAGCAAAAATAAGTTAATATTCGAAGGAGATTTTCCAACTTCTCCTCGAATGTGTTAGTATGAATTTATAAAGAAAAAAAATAATACCTCAAAAAATTCGCCCGGCTGAACAGAAAGTTCCTTGTCATTCCTCGCTTTGTAAGACTTCTGGGCAATGGCCAAGCTAAAATTACAAAAGCAAGGCAATAATTGCAAAAAAATTAAATTTTAAGTGTTATTTCAGTACAGAAAGTTTTAAATTGTCAAATCCAAACATTTTGTTCTATTAACTAATAATATCACATTTTTTATTGATCGCCTAATCGTGCAATTATTTAATAGACACCAGGTGATGGAGTAATCTAATTTTTAAATTAAACGCATAACAAGATTATTGAAGAATTGTTTCCTTAAGTTGAGGCACATACAAGTTTCCCTCCAATTTGCAGGCCTATCATTTGCAATTCCCTTAATAAGAAATGCGAAATCATCCGCTGAGTTGGTGAGATTTCTCTACGAAAATTTATCCTCCATTCGTATTTCGACTAATTCGACTTAAATATATGTAGTGAAGATTTAAAAGAAAAAAATACACTAATAGAGTGGAAATACGAAGGATTCTTTAAGTGCGATTAATCGCACATTTTTCGGGATAATATAATTACAATCGTCTTTAGTTGCGCTAATTTGCTCAAGTAAGAAAGTATGTGTGCCAAGAGAGAACAGAGACTAAAACGCCTTAAGTGACGAAAAATATATTTGAATACTCGCAAGACGTGGCTACGTTTCCTTTGGCTAATGGGAAAGAAATCAGTTAATTTGGAAGATGGCAATATTGAAAAGAGGATGTGTAGAACATAAGAACTTCGAGAAATCATTATTGATAACGTTAAGCCTTTACTCTCCAAAACATCACTTAGTGGAGTCTGGATCTATTACTCAAACCATATTTCTGCCACAAGAACTAAGAAGTCTCCAAAGTCTCATGTAATGTTTCAAATAAGTGTGCTTTTTGTTGCGCTGAAGATTCCATTATTTTCATGCTCACAAACGCTCATTAAAGCACTTCATTCAATTAAGAACCACATTCATTAATTAGACTACTTGGAAGTCAATCAATAAATATGGGTCCTCTTGTTGTATGCAGTTAAGGAAATAAACGAGGGTTTCAGAGGAGCTCCAATCACTATACGAAGAATGCATACTCTTGGAAGTCCCAGACTTATCGATCAAAGGAACCAAAATTATTTTGTGATTTGTTGGTTATCTACCTATTTCGCCCAGTTACTGTGTGAATATATATATATATATATATATATATATATATGAAGCGAATACTCCACTTAAAAAAACGAGTTTATGAATAAAGTGAAATTTTCCTAGCAAATAACATAGATTAGCAAATTATTCTAAAAGGAAATGTCAGTAATGGTAATTGCAGTATTTCAAAAAGGTCACCATTTCGTAATATTCGCAAGTTACTTTCACTTGGAAGTCAGCAAAAAAACTTATCACATGTATTCACATTGCAATTTAAATGAAAATATATTATTAAATAAAATGCACTTACTTTTTCATTCTTTCATGGACGGACTCAAAAAATTCCTCAAGTTCCGGCCTTGAATTGCGTGAACGGGAATCTTTAAATTATTAATTTGTGAGGTTAAAGAAACCATATCTACCTGATCTTTTTCTTTGGCCCTTCCTCATTTCCGTGGATCTAGCAACGACTATTTCTGAAAGAACAAAATTGCGCAAAGTTGTGGTAATGAAGATGTAACGATATATCAGACAATTTCAAAAAATTGAAAGTAAAGAAAATATAAATCGATAATGCGGTCGATCAATTAACCACGTTATTAATAATAAATTATTTAAATAAGAAGTAAGGGTTTGATAATATGTAGCTTTTAAACAATGCAAAGGCAACACATGTAAATTAAGATTAAATACATATAAAACATAGAATAAAACGGTTATATTCTAAATTTTTTCCCTTCGCATAATTTTGAACTCAACATTACAGTTATATATAAAATAACTTAAAACAGGAGGTTTTAATTTGTCAATGAATAAGAATAATATTCCTGCTACTTAAACTAAAACGCATATATGGTGATTTTTAAAAGTTCCAAATAAAACATATCGTTATTGTTGTGTTTTTTAGCTTTCGGGTTGCTAATTGAGAGCTCTTTAGCATGATTTAATTGGGTTTAGAATTTATGAAACATGAAGAGTAAAACCGAATTACCTCCTCTAGGTTCAATTTGACCCTCAACTGAAGTACACTGTGAATTTATTAAATAAAACAAATATCTTGAACATTTCCAAACACAATATAAAGTAAAGCAAAAAATATTAGTAATAATAATTAAGATGGATTGCAAGCCCATTTTAAGTTTTTTTGTTAGTACTTGAATATACGAATATACTTATGTATCCCCTGTAAAATTATGATCGCAAATTTAAATAGTTGAAACAAAATTTTCGGTAAGCATGGCTTAATTAGTTTTCCATTATCTTTATAAAATGCATAATTAGGGCTGTTTTGAAACAATCCTAGGTTAGAACTTGACAACGGCCATAAAATCTACGCATTAAGAGAAAAATTTCAAGTTTATCGCACCATGATATTAAATAAAAGCACGTGGAAAATAGACTAAGGGGAATAAAAGTCCAAAGCATGCAATATAAGGAAATTGAGACCAATTTTAAAAGAATAAACTTAAATATATTACAATCAAATCGGAACAAAATATTAAATCCATTAATCGAAAGATAAAATTGAATCAATAAATACATTTAGTGAAGTCGATTTATGGCACGATTTGATTATATATTATGACTTGAGCAGTATGAATGAATTCTATTTAAAAAAAGGAATATGATGTATTTTGCATATCCATTCAAGCAACTAACCATTTCTTAATTGTATGCGACAGAAAATTTCGTAAAAGCTCATTTAATAATTGATGGGAATCAGGTCAATGTCACAATTAATAAGTTCCATTACTCCTAAGCGTACTACAGAATATATACGACACAATATTTAATCATAGATTAATTCAGGCAAATTCATCATTAAATTGGCGTTAAGGATTTTGTAATAGCAACTTTAATTTGTTTTACTCTTTCAATTCTTTGGTATATTTTCAATTGTGGCGTTAGTGGTATGGTGTTGGCATGTTCTATGCCATCCTTTTCTGTTTGGTTTTTATTTTCTTCTTCACTGATTACTATATTTTCAGTAATATTTTGATTCATTATATGCAAAATCAAATTGACCAATCAGTTATATTTATTTCGTTACGCGTATTTGCTCATTTATATACAATTGAAAATAGTCCTTTACCCACTCAAATAGTTATTTTTAAAGCATTTTATTGAAATTCACAATATTGTGTTTATTTTTAGTAAAATGGCTTTGTCATCGCGTCTGTATCAAGCTTACAGCTCGAGCTCTGATGATGAAAGTGAAGAGATGCCTAAGAAGGTTCAGTCTCAGCGCTTCATCATGCCTCAGAGCGATAGTGAAGATGAAAAACGTGTGGTTCGTAGCGCAAAAGACAAACGACATGAAGAAATGACTAACCTGCTGAGAAGTCTCAACAATCACAAAAAGATTAAAGATATGTCTAGGGTGGAAACTGCTTTCGATGAGCTCGTAAAACTCTACGAAAAGGCCCTCAAAATGAATGAAATTGATGTCTATCCCACCTTCTATATTCGTATGCTCGCTCAAATGGAGGACTTTGTAAATGAGTCTTGGAGTGAAAAGAAAACTCTTAGTAAAGTTGCTGCTAAGTCTCTTACAATTCTCCGCCAAAAAATTCGTAAGTATATCAAGGAATTTGAGGAACCAATCAAAAAGTATCGTGAAAATCCTGTTGTTGAATCTGAGCCTGAAGATGAGTTAGGTGATACAAAGTTAGCTTCGTCTGAAAGTGAAGAAGGTCCCGTCAAGTCAAAGGTAGTTGGAGTACGCGTTAATCTTTAAATATGAAATTAAATTGGTCAAATAATATTTTTTTCACTTTTAACAGACGAAGCCTGTTGTTTCTAAATCTTTTGGTTCTGATAGTGACGATGATACTGATGACTTTTTCGATTCCTCTGATGATTCGGATTCAAGTGATGCTATCTCCCTCAATCAGATGGCGAATCCTGCTGATTACTTCTTGAAAGATCCTTCTAAATCTACAAAAGTTAGTATTTCGATAGTTCCACAACCCTCTTATATGTTTGTGCTCAAGTGCCAGTGAACCCTTCTCTCTATTCCATTTTTTTATTTTTTAATTTAATATTCTCCAAATATTAATTTCCTTCTAGGATAAAAAACCCAAAAAAGAATCAAGGCGAAAGCCGGCTAAGCAAGCTGTAAAGCCGGAAAGCGGGGAGTCGGATTTTGGTTCTGTTGATGGTACTGTGTCGGAACCCGTCGTTCAAGCTTTTGAGAAGGGTGTGGAAGTTACCGAACAGTTGGCAATGGATAAGATTAAAGAAATCCTTGCAAATCGTGGTAAACGCACATGCAGCATTTCTGAGCAAAACCAACTTCTTGATCAAGTCTGCAAGAAAATTGGTTAGTATCTTTTTTGGTCAATTTTTCAATCTACAATGATTTTGACATTATTGTTTTGCTTCTTGCCTACAGAGGAGATGGACTTTAAGCCCAGTATCCAAGTGAAAGGTATTCTCTCTTTGATCACCGTCATATTTGATTATGAGTCAAAACATGCGGCTTTTATGCCTGTTACGGAGTTCCAAAGGTTTGCTTGTTTTTGCACTCTTTTCTTGATGATTTCATTTCGTCTGAACTATATTTTTCTATTTAGGGCTATTGAGTTGATGCAAAAGGTCTTCGAAATAATTGATGAAAATCCTGATACTATCGAGATTTCTGAAACTTTTACGGAGGAGACAGAATCAATTATGGTAAGCAGGATTGTGATTTTGCGATGGTTACCAATTAGTAGTTTTATTCGTGAAAAGCAATTGGGATACAGTTCCCAGTTTTTACGCAGTGTAAAAATTAATGTGGTACTAATTATAACTACTGAAATGTCAGATAAAAGTAGTGTTTTATTTTTGTTTTACTGTTTTTAGGAGCCTCCTTATCGTGTACGTGGCTCACTCCTCAGTAATGTCAGTCGTCTTGACGATGAGTACTTCAAAATCCTTCAAAATGCCAATGGCCATGAAATGGAGTATGACGAAAGGTGAGTGTTAGTTTATTTAAATTCCAATCGTGGTTATGTAGTGGTGGAAGTCCCCGTCTGCCGAGTCAACTTCATAGTGATCATTATTTGAATTATTCAATACTAACACTTACCTTTCCTCTAGTCTGCTTAATGGGTTTTGAAAAATGTGTAATGAGCGGCTTTGAGTAAAAAGTTGTCATTGGAATGCTTACTTTGCTGTTTCTTTTTAGTTGTTTAAAAATGCCTATCTTTATTAGCTTCTCCATCATTCATTCCCTTTTTACTAAGTTCAAAACTGGGTTAAACAAGCGTCACTATTGGATTTGGTTTAGTCAAATTTTAAACAAAAATTCCTTACAAAGTTGGCTTCTAGTTATACGGCTAGGTAACGAAGCTTGGGTTTTTTTGTTTTAGTGAAGGTTAGCTGGTCCAATCCTATCGAATATAGACATAGAGCTTTCTGAAATAACAAAACCACAAAACTCATCTTTCCTAGAGGGCTATCATAAGTCCCCTTTATTGGCCATACTTAACCATTGAGATCGGCCGTTTGGTAAATATACTCATGACCCCAGTTGAGCATTTTAGTACCTGATCCACATTAGTGATTTATTTATCCTCATAGTGGCTCATTTCCTATGTTAACTTTACATCGTTTTCGTCTATGCTCTATTTCAGACTTAGGGACGAGCCAAAAATATGTAAATTGATTGATCAACTCATCGAATATTTGAAAAAGGTTGGCGCTCCATCGGAAGCTCTATGTAAAGCCTCTTTACACAAGGTTGAACACATGTATTACAAGGTATACTCGTAATTTCGATACGTCACAGTTTAAATTCATGTTCGTATTAGGTCACTCACCCTAACTAATCGCTCTGTTTTTTACAGTTTGACTACGAATGGGGCAAGAAGGTTGAAGAAGAAGGTATAGAAGCAGCTGGTCCAAACCCAAACATAAAAGCAATCGAGACGCTCTGTCACTACATATACAAATATGACACTACCGACAGAATGCGAACTCGTGCTATCCTCTGCCATATCTACTTTTTGGCACTGCATGATCAATGGCATAGCGCTCGGGAATTGATGCTAATGTCAAACCTTCAGGCGACTATCGATCATGCTGACCTTGCAACCATGGTAAGTTACCCCTCACCTCTCTCCTTATTCTCTTTTCTTTTCAGCTGTTAATATTTAACTAATCACAATTGTGCCAAATTTAGGAAAATGCTGATTTTGAATCAACTGGCTCAAAGGTAAAGCCTAGTTATATATCTTTAGACAAAAAGGAAAACCCAATTAGATGTCTCTGTACTATTTGATGAATATTTCTATTTAGAAATTCATTGATTTGGCGGGAGCTTCTAAAATGGTAAAGCCTTAGATGTCTCATCCTAGTCTAGCTTTCAATGTCCGTAGATTTTGAAGTCATTGCGCATAGAGGTCATCCAATAACTGTTGTTCCTTTTTTTCCTTCAATGTAGATTCTCTTTAACCGAGCTATGGTCCAATTGGGTATGTGCGCATTCCGTCAGGGTCACATTAAGGATGCTCATTCTGCTCTCTGTGATTTGACTGGTACTAGCCGAGTCCGGGAACTCCTTGCTCAAGGACAGCGCTTTGATCGCACTAAGGAGGACGAGAAACGCGATAAGGCTCTTCAAATGCCCTATCATATGCACATAAACACCGAACTCATTGAGACTGTATTCCTTATCTGTGCTATGCTTATTGAAATTCCTCTTCTAGCTGGTGAGATATTAACCCACATTTCAACCTACGCTTGTTCCTCTAACTCTGATGTTGGTTTGATGTGGAATTTTCATTTTGCTTTGAAGCCTCTCAAGATAATGAGAATAGGACAAAAGTGTTCAGCAAAGCCTTCATGACTGTTCTACGAATCCACGACCGCTCCTCAATGACTGTACCCCCGGAATCCCCTAGAGATCATGTTCTCGCTGCTTCCAAAGCCCTTCGTCACGGTGACTGGAAAAAGGCTACCCAATTTATCTTCAGCCCTAAAATGAATGCCAAGATTTGGATCCTCTTCTACAACGCTAGTGCGGTGAAAGAAATGGTCGAAGAGAAGGTTAAGGAAGAGTGCTTGAGATGCTATCTCTTCACTTATGCTCAAGTTCACGAGTCAATTAGTTTGCAAAGGCTGGCAGAACATTTTGACTTCCCAAGGGCTAAAGTCTATTCTATTATTAGCAAGATGATAATAAACCAGGAGCTCGCTGTATGTTTCCTTGAAAATTTCTGGGTTAACCCCCCCCCCCCCTGATAAATACCATTTTAATTGATGTCTTCATCATTTTTTGTATAGGGTTCTCTGGAAGTTCCAGCTGATTTCTTGACCATTCACAAAGGTGAGAGGTCTCGTTTCCAAATTCTCAATATTCAATTGGCTGACAAAATCAATAGCATCGTGGAGATGAACGAGAAACTAATCGATAGTCGAGGGGGACAGACTGTTGGGAACAAAGGTTCGTTGTGTGTTACCATTTCTTTTTTAAAGCCTTCGTTTCTCTTAATCAAGTTTGGTTTTATTATTGTAGGAGGTCAAAATTATCAAGGACGTAAGTAGAATTAGTTATTCTTCATTTTATCCGCGTTTCCTACCTTACTGGCTTGTTTGTGTTTAAACTCTGCATATAAATTTGTTCAGGCCGCCATTTCTAAGGTAAGTTGAAATCGCACCTAATACGGAAATGCAACATAGTTGTCGATTTTACAGCCACTTTGTAGATTTTGGTGTCATTTTGTATCATCCAATGTGTACTCAATTATTGGTAGTGTTCTAATTCCTAATTGCGTGACTAACTTCTACTTAACGACCTGTGTTTGTGATAGCTTTAAGTTTGTCTGAATGTACCACTAGGCGAGTTGTTGGCGCACATTCCAACACTATTTAAACAAATTCAATTCTTTTTCGTTGGCTCATGTTTTTAGTTATTCTACTCGGTTGCTTATTAATTGGGTGTTTTTTTGTCCTCTTTAGAGCGTCGTCAGAGATTTTTGCAAACTTCAAAATTCAATTAGGTGGTGAAAATGTCAAATAATCCTCTCTTCTTTGTCCTTGTTCCCCATGTCTCTGTCTGTCGGTCCCTTGTTGTGCCTCTTTTCTCTGTATCAAGAAACCTTCACTTTTTAACAAACTTTCTTGATATTTGGATTTGCACTCACTTAATGTGTTCTTCCCACTATGGTGGAGACGGATTTGACGTTGTATTGTGGGTTTGATTAACCTGTGGCTGGTTGTTAATGTATTTAAGGCCTGTTGATGTGATCATTGTGATCTGCCATTCAGTCGTAGTTATCGAGGATAGTTAGGTGCGTTGATTAAGGGTCATTTTTGTAATCAACCAGCGCCTTTGTAAGCTTCCGCTAACCTCCATCATTGTCAATTTGATCGATGGTATTATGCGTTCAAGTTATAACGCATGTATAGCAAGCTATATTGTTTGAGGTCAAATTAAGGAAATTCAGAAGTCGGGATTAATTATTTTATAAATTAAGGGTACTTAAACTTTGGGCAAACTGAGGGGCATCTTAGAGCAGCCCACAAATAATGAAGTCGTAATTTAGGAATTAGGGCCACTTTGAATGGCAAGACATTGACTAATATATGTAATTTATGAACGACGTTGAGTAGCGAAAACCCATTTCATTGGGACGAAACTATCTTGCAGCGAATTTTGCCACAAATAAGCACTGTGGTAAACTTTGCTAGTCCTTTTAAAAGTCTAACTAGGTGCAGAAAAATAAAACAGCAGAGTCCTCTAGCACAAATATATGCTCCAACTATTAGCCAAGCTATAATAAAAGTCGAGAGAGCAGTAAACTTACAGAGTGTGCTGCGTTTATCATACCTATTGCACAATTTGAGCATTAATCAAATATAGTTGAAGACAAAATTAAGCATTGGTTGGCTGATGAGACTCTTGTACATAAAATAGTTACCCGCAATTGGATCGATAGCGTAAACGCGTTTTCCAGAATATTCGAGTGCTTGTGGAGTTCTTGATAAAAAAGTAGTACCAAATTTGAGACTAATAAGGTCCCTGTAATTTCTAGGAAAAAAAGGTTTCTGATTATTTTAATAATTGAAATACTCCTTATTTATCCCAGGGTAAATGCTATTGTGAAGCGATCAGAAATGAGTAAATGTCAAAGTAATATCCACAATAGATCAACGTGATTGTGTTGGACCTTCCATCAAATGGAAACATCGACGTTTGAATTCATTCATAATTAAATAGAAGCAAGGTTCCCAGCCTCCATGCACCAATTTAACAAAATGCACTATTTGACATATTGTCTTTGATGACCTCAGGCCATATTACATTAAATCAGTAATTGTATTTAAGTAACAACTTAGAACAAGTGATATTGAGACCAAGGGGATTTCGTACCGTGAATTTCTTCTTTCATTTTACCAATTCAATGGATTTTTCTTTATGTATGAAATATGTTCACAAGTTTTAATAGGAGACGTTTTGATCGCAATATTCGATATTATATCAGATACTTACTACCTCAAATTCAACAAAGGCAAATTGAAACTATTGGTTAGTCGTTTTGTTCTAATTCAAATTATACAGGGTTTGAAGTCAAGTGAATTTAATTTAATAGATAAAATGGGATACTTCTTCGTTTTTGTCAAAAGGAATCAATTATGAGTACAGTGAAGCATTAAAGAAATTTATTCCAATAATTATTTCTATGTCACAAAATAGAAATAACGGAAATATCAAAATTTCCATTCATCAAAGATTATTAATTTATAAATTATAGATTTCAAAGAGATCAATTTTCTCATTTCTATCATGTCTTACAATTCACTAAATTTAGTAAATGGGGATAGGTCTCTCTCGGCGGAAATTGTGCGATACATTCATTATTGCTTAGCCTAAGAATATAAAGCCTGGGTGATGTCTGGTCGCGGAAAAGGAGGAAAGGGTCTAGGAAAGGGGGGCGCCAAGCGTCATAGGAAGGTTCTTCGTGATAATATTCAAGGAATTACCAAGCCAGCCATTCGTCGTCTTGCTCGACGTGGTGGTGTAAAGCGTATCTCGGGTCTCATCTATGAAGAAACCCGTGGTGTCCTGAAGGTTTTCCTCGAGAACGTTATTCGTGATGCCGTTACTTATACTGAGCACGCCAAGAGAAAGACCGTCACAGCTATGGATGTTGTCTATGCTCTAAAGCGTCAGGGACGCACTTTGTACGGTTTCGGTGGTTAAACATATTTGGCATGTTTGCATTTCAATACTTTCCCGACAGTAATAATAATGTATGCTGTTATACTATTTATTCAATTTTTTCACTTGTCAAGTCTCGATTCTGTCGCGATTGAGCTTATTGCAATAAGTTATGCTGACTATTTTGCTTTGATAAGACTATTATCGTACTTCCCCAGTTTGTTACGATGCAACTCTTAAGCTTGAAGTATCCCTCTGTCTGATCAATTTTATCTGTTTAATTTTGAAAGGCATTGTGTTTGTTTGTTATTCCTAAGTCATGATTTTGTTTATTTGTCGGTTCTTTCTATAAGGCTAGCTGCTATATCACCAGAGTTGATACTTGGAGTTTAATTAGTTAATCTTTGAAGTGGAAATTTTGTATTATCTCTAATAGTGCTTCGTCAGTCGCTACGTCATTAATATGCTCTCAAAAGGACATTGCACGGTATATAGAAGTTTTTGTTGATCAGCTTTAGTCTCGACTGTGTGCTAGTAATATAAGTGTTAGTTAAACTTTTGGTCGTCAAATTCAAGTCCAACAGTATCGATCAGATAGAAACATGATAGTAATAGGAGTATTTTAGTGTATTTCGAGTCTTTTTTGACATTAAATCAGTTTGTCCTTAAATTATCTCGAAACAGGCTAATTGGATTCAGCATATTTTCCTTTTCCAAACTCATGTGTTATGAACACTTCTCCTAGTGAGCATAGGAACCATTTTATCGGCATATGCCTTGATAATGTAGTAGTTGTGGATATGTCATTCATGAATTGGAGGGCAAATAGACAAGTGGAACGTTAGAGCACTGTAGCTTGACTCTCCCTTGTTCAGGTGCCTACAAATGCTCTTTTTCCATGCATCTATCATAAGTAGAGGTTTCCCACAAGACATGCCATTTGAACCATTATGTCATCGTTAATCACTTGATTTCCCAAGTTAAATAGTGCACTTAAGGCAGAGCTTCACAGGAATCAGTCGCATAACGGTCACATCAATCAGGTATTTGATCACTGTAACAAGTTTGATCATGAGGCAGAGCGCTAGTTATTCTGTCATGACTGTTACTTTCTACATGACTTAGAGTTAGGCTATTTTCTAACATACCACATTTGAGGCCGCTTAATGGGTTAGGAACAAGGCTATTCAATATTAATGACCTGTTAGAACTTCTATATGGGCACGAAAAACCTGTTTTACTATCTAAATCAAGGCGTCAAGGCAGACCAGAATGATATTTATCTCGTATCAGGGCGGTGAACTATAGGGACGCAGTTATCCTCAGTTGAATTAAAAGAGATTAGCAAAAAGATGGCCAAGCTAATCACTCAGATGGTAACTTTTTTCAAGGACATTACCCTTGGCCAAACCACAAAAATGTGCATTCTTTAATGATTGAAGGTCCACTAAACACTAAGAGTATTTAAGTAGTACAATGAGGGACGAAACTTGTGGTAGTATAAAAGTAACTAGAGTCTGACTTCATCTTAGTTTTTGAAACCAGCTAGACCTTGTTTTAATAATCCGTAACTCAGGATAAGACTCGAATTTCTGGATGAATTTTTGTTCGCTTTAAGTTCTTGCGCTTGGTTATATCATTCTCGATCCATTGACTTCTGGCAATCAATAGCATCTAGTCGCTCCTGGGTAAGACGTTTTAGAAAAACAAAGCTTAGTGGTTGTGATTAATTTTACCGACGTAAGGGATTAAGGCAGAGTGAGCCACTGACTGTTTATATCATTCCGATAAATGCTAGTACGTCAGTAGTGCTGTGAGTGACTTTTGAAACCATTCATCCCGTTGTTGATGTATTCAAGGAGGATTTTGCGAAACGGATGGCATGTCGTTTGAATGTAACTGCGCGTTCTTGTTTACCAATCCCATCTCAGCGTCACGTTATATGTTCGCAATTAACTTGAGTCAAGAACAGGCAAAGATGGAATGCCTATTAGCCTACTTCAAAAGGGTAGACATTTGCACTTTTAATTAACTAGGCATCCTCACCATACAAATCACATCCTTGATATGGACCACAACTGACCAACTCAATTTACTAAATGTATTTTAATACTTTCTCCACATTAAAGCTGACGTTTCAGACTTACCTTATTGCTTAGGGCATTGCCGTGCAACCAAAACACTGAAAACCATCAGGACAGTGACCACTGGACCTTTACATAATATGGATAATAAACCTTGAGAAATTGGGCAGATGAAGGAAGGCTAAAACTACCTGGAGAACGCAGCTATCAATGTAGTTCCCTTTAGTCAATAGCATTAGCCCGGTTTAGTGAGAAGTAAAGGCAATACTAAACGCTACTTTTAATTACCCAGTAATAAAGTTAATATTATAACCAATTAAAGCGAAATAAAGACAGAAGTACTAAGCAATTCACTAGTATTTGTACACTTAGAACATAAAAAGTTAAGAGTTGTAACTATTGGTCTCCAAAATGACAAAGCAAACAATCTGAAAAAAGCAATATTAGAATATAATTGGAGGCGGTAAGATCACAGTCAAATGTTGTTAAGAGTAACAGTAAGTGAATAAGTGACAAGGGGAATGGGGTAACTATATACCAACGGGAAGATGTCCTCTTGGCTGCTGCAAGTTATCCTCTGGTAGTGACTGACCGGCCAACATGTTTGTAATGAATATTAACAAAAAGCAAATGAAGATAATCAATCCGAATATGAAGGACAGACGACGTGGGAAGAGGGGTTTAGGAAGGAGGAAGGAAATACGGCGCGTGAATCTGAGGGGCAGAAAAAAGCTGGTCAATTTTTACGACGAATAGAGATAGAGCAAGTTTTACGATCGATTTTATTCAGTTTGCTGCCTCATCATTGTGTTCCATTTATGACTCATTTATTAGCCTTTAAGTGATTCATAAAATCCTCCCTCACTGTCTGGCGCTAGGCACGGTGTACTTATATCTGCTAATCACTCACTTCAGTTTACTGGATCTCAATAGGATAGCTTCACTGTCACCGACCATCTCCCTCCCAAAGGTTGAAGAGATACTAGTTAAGCCAGAGTTATATACTGGTACATCAAATCTAGATAGTTTTCAAGAAATAAGACTTCAATGGTAACGAGTTCACACCTGTTGGTGTGTAGCCTAACAATCCAAATGAAGAATGGCAACTGAAATTGTAAGGACTTTATGGTACCTTTCATCGTCCCAAAAGATGCCTTAAGTACCTTCGACAATAAACAGCCTTTAAGAGGAAAAATAATACACTCCAGGAAAATACTACAACAAAAGGTCAAACGGATTGCAAGGAACGTAAAATTCGTTGAAACACACAATAGATCTACACAACCTTTTGGTCCACTTATTCCAGGAGCGGTAACCCGATCATTTTCATTGCCACTACCCTAATCAGTAACAAACATGGTTTGGCTGACTTGACGTCCGAATGCGATCTCCAATCCTAGTTAAATACGCTATTCCCATAACTTTCCTAGGGTGTCGTAAATGCCAACAATTACTCAGCAGTCATGCCTTAGTTTTAGACATGGTGAAACGAAACCCAGAATAGATAAGCGTTTATATCGAGAATTGCTATCAAATGTCTATGGGCAGATAAATTGAAATAATCTGTTAGCATCCACAAAACAACATTACCAGCACTGCAACCGAGTCGAAATATAAAATGAATTAGAATGAATGGATGGGCATAATATCACTATCATACCATTACGAGTGTATTTCATTTTCGATATCAGATTTAAAAAAACTTCAAAAGTTAAAACGATAGTAGCTTTATTGGGCAAAATTTAAGTAGTTGATAAAGTACCAAGGAAGCTTGAATCTTAAAAAAGTCAAATTAGAAATAGAGAAACACTTACACAAGTAAGATAATGTGTAATAGAGATTAAAAAATGGAAAGCAATAATGGAATTAATGGTGATTTTAAACAGCAAACCAGGAGATAACCTAATAACGTGGATCATCAAACCAGACCCTAATTCTCTTATTCTTAACACGAATGACCTGAATGAACTTGTAAGTTAAAACAGAGCCTGTCTATCCACTGCATATATTTCATCACACAATATCACTACAATCACGACTTAGGCAAGGAATACAAAGGAGTACACATGGACTTCACAATTGGCTTATTCACAGCCACTTAAAAATTCTAAAAAGTTGATTTTGGATCATCAAAGCAAAATCCGTGGTATATACATAAATATATCGAGAACACAACACCACAAAATCGTACAAAATATGACAAGTAACGAGGGCAACTTGAAGGGAACTAGGCTGAAAAGACCCTAAATACAGCAGCGAGAGTGCGCCCTGATCGAATCACATTTTTACGTACTCTGCCAATTACAATAGGAGCAAAGCAAATTAATTAGAGAATTGTTCATTAGATACCAACTCGTTGAACCAACTTAAACTGAATTATTTCATACGGTCATAGGAAATTAAAACAATAAATAATGTTTAATTGGAAAGAATTCGCGATTGTCGCAAAGAGAATAGAAGTACGATCATTCTAAGGGCCTAAAATCTATCGTGTCAGAGAAGACAATATTGCCACTTTAAGCTTAAATTAAAATATTTCCAAAATGGAAATACTGAGATATCAAATAGAAAATGACAATAAATTTTTACAGTACACTCACAACTAGAATAAACAAATAATAGACATAAAAACCTACCCTAGAAGGCCACTATTCGATTTATTGACAGGCGTATGATGTCTTTTATATTTATCCACATCGTCATCATCTGCCATAAGATTCCTCGGATTACTGATGTTGAATAGAGGAAGTGGTTTCGATTCTACACGGGATGCAGTAGGACTAATGCTAATGTTGTTGAGAGAATACTCAATAGGAACTATGGTTTCCGTTGGTTTTGAAGGGGAGATTTCGGGGGGATTAACCATCTGTTGATCTCTTAAAAACTGGCTCGCATAGGAATCCAAAGAGGAGTCGAGAAGTTTGGAATCTGAAAAGCATTGAAGGAACATAGAATATAGGCAAACAAGAAAATTTAATGACATAAATAAAGACTCACCGACGAAGACATTAAGCGTATCGTTTAAATTTAATGGCGGTTTTGACTTATTTTTAGAAGCAGAAATTTTAGCATGGTGGTTGGGTTTAACCCACTTAGCTGAAGTGAGTTTCTGCCTAAGGGCTTCGGCAATAGGACCACCTTGATTTCTGAGAGGGATTATGATCATGGAGCAAGAAGGACACTCATAACCAGCAGGTGCGGTTTTTGGAGGGAGCTCAGAGGCATAATTGTCCAAACAATTCCAGTGGAAAAGATCTAAAAAAGAGGAATATGGGCTTACAAGATAACAATTCTCACCTAAGCACATAAGACGAACACATTCCTCCCCATTATCAAGTTCTTTAGAACAGAGGAGACATTGTGAAGAATAATAATTGTCCTTGAGCCAGTGTAGATATGATTTCACTACACACTACGAAATTCAATAATACTTAACGGTTCACCTTGGGATGATTGGACAACAGGCAAAATTCGCATACATTTACGCGATGTTCAAAGCAAAATAGGTTAGTGACTTTCTTTCTTTCACATTTGCAGAGACCCATTTCCGGAAAAATCAGGATCTAGTAAATTTGTAGGTGACTCATAAGCACTTTAGATCACCGCGATTGCTTGAAGCTTTTTAAACAAGTTGAGTTGGAATTCATTTAAATATATCACTGAAAGCTTTATTGACATTATGCGTTTAAAAGTAAAATAAAGGTGATTAAGAATTCTCATATTATTAAAGCAAATTAATTGCAATACGGGAATTATGATCTTGAGATTCGTTGATCTATCTTCTAGAAAAATAGTTAAATTGACGTTGCAGAAACTATATCTTTTTATCGAAAGATGGATGTATGTGAGATAAATAGGGAGAAGATGAATAAAACCGTCTAAATATAAAATATATTATAAATGAAACCCGCCTTTCATTTAATTCATCATCTTATAGTTTTGCTGGGAATACGGCTCGAATTTTCCTGAAGAGGCATCTTTAGGAACAAAATTTTCCAAACCATTACAAATTCTCTATTAACAGACAAACGACTTAAATATGGATTTCAGTACATATTATTTTAGAAATACTGCAATCAGCCATAAATATATAAAGGATTTGCTTGTTTTATCCAGTACACCTGTTATCCAGCGACGATGAATAATGTAAATAGAGATGAGGGTATGTAGAGCAATTTTATTTCACTACCTTTAATTAACTACAAGAGTTTCTTTAAATATTTAAAACTAGTTTTTTATTTCGTCTCACACCAACATATTATAAATTGGAATAATAGTTGTAAAAATCTTCCTAAGATTGGTTTTATTTGCAGTAGTTTTACCTTCAGTTTCGCTCATAAAATACCCGGGTCAGTTTAGTTGACCAATGTGATGTATTCTATGTAAGTTGTCACTTTTCAATTTACTGAATTAATAGTTCCTACCTCACGAGGATTATTACAGGATTGCGTTCCGGATATAATGAACTTAATCCAGCTAATTTAAACGGCGCAATTGATATTATAGTCGTTGAGGGAAAAAATGGTCGTTTCAAAAGTTATCCATTTTATGTCCGCTTTGGCAAAATGGGAGCAATTAATCCGACTGATAAGCATGTGGAGATCTACGTAAATGGCCGCTCAGTTGATGATGTTCACATGCGGTTGGGAAGCAACGGGCTTGCTTATTTTGTTAATGACGTTGAATCGATTTACATTGAGAGTGATTCTGAATCTACAGGTCCACTTATCCGGGCTCGTTCGGTTGATAGCTTAAATGATGAACTTTTGGCTCCTTATCGGTTTCGACGTAGATTTAAAAAGTCTCGTATAGATACTGCTGTTAACCTTTGCGAACCAAGTAAAGCAAATATTTCCTCCGATTCAATCAATCCTTCCGGTTATCTTTCGGATGGTGATATTGAAACAATCTGTCATCATGCATCTTTTACTGATGATGGTAATCAAAGCAGTACCTTAGAACCTGTTCAGAAAGATCTTACTACTGCCCAACCAAGTTCAGGTGTTAAGCCATCTAACTCGAATCCTGGAGGTATTTACTTAGATGAACTTGTCGCACAATCTACTGATCAGAGCATTCGTAATACCTATCTCTACTCATCCGACTGCATGAGTCCTCAACCATATCAATCAGATGGTGGTTATAGGTCAGATTGCGAGCAGACTTTTCAGAAACTACATATTGACGTGCAAATGTCTCTATGCGGTGGCCTTGATGCTAATGCTCAAGTTGATTATGAACGCTTTTGTGCTCATATGGTAACTTTTGAAGAATTTTCTAAAGATCCTGCTGGAATAATTACTAATCCAAACCTTGTCCTTGCTTACAATGAAAAATTTTACAATTGGCAGACTGCTGCACCTCTTATTCTTAGTCGCGCCTGTTTTAAGGCTGATCTTCCTTATACTTCACTCCTCAAATTGGAGGAAAACTTTATGCCAAAGAAGCAACCACGAAGAAGGCGGGCTTGGTTTACTTGGGGTACTACGGAGCCATCCGAGCCTCCAGTTGAGCCGGAAAAGACCTATGTTAAGTCCCCAGTAGAGCCCTCCGTGGTCGATAATCCTCCTATTCCTGGTCCTCCTGACTCTCATACAGTGAACTCTAAACTCCCTAAAAGAAATACACCAACAGAGAGGGAGTTAGAATTATTCGACCTGCAGCCTGGAGTAAATGACATCGAATTCCGCGTTGTAACTAAGTATCAAGGGACAGCAGTATGTCATGCAAAAATCTATCTCTGGAGGTGGGATGAAAAAATTGTTATCTCGGATGTTGACGGTACCATAACCAAATCTGATTTCCTTGGCCACGTTATTCCTGCTTTATTTAACTCTGATTACGGTCATGACGGTGTAGCAGAATTGTACTCAAAAGTTGCGGAAAATGGCTATAAATTTGTTTATCTTACCTGTCGAGCTGTTAGTCAAGCTGATACCACAAGAGGTTATCTTGGACGAGTTTGCCAGTATGATAAATTTCGATTACCCGATGGTCCTGTTCTTCTATCGCCTACATCTACCCTAGATGCCCTTCATCGGGAAATAATTGCCAAAACTCCTGAAGTTTTCAAAATTTCTTGCCTTAAAGAGTTAAGAGATGTCTTTCCAGCCAATTCATGTCCCTTTTATGCGGCGTTTGGAAATAGACCTACTGATGTAAAATCTTATATTGAGTCCGGTTTTGATCCCGGACGCGTGTTTACAGTGAATCCCAATGGTGAGCTGAAAAATGAACGAATCCCATGTGTAAAGAAATCTTTTGGTGACGTGACAAGTCTTGTTGATCATTTTTTCCCCACTATCGCACCGAAGCCAATTGATGTGTGTGGTTCTGAATCCGAAGATGATAGTTCTACTCAATTCAGTGCCACCAATAATGATGTGGATATGACAGTCTTCTCTTCATTCACGTTTTGGCGTGATCCTATACCAATAGACGATACTGATATTGTCAACCCATCATAACAAGTTGTAAAAAAATCGAAAGTCAAATAACTTACCCTCTATCCTCCATATTGCATATCTTGCATTTACTTTGTGACATAATTTTTTACTTTCATAATCGCAATATGCCAGTAAAGGTTTTATTTCCTCTTGCATTTTGATTTAGTGTTTGCTTGTTTTCTTAGTTTGCTTTAACCGTTGATGGTAGTTGTGTCCATCTGAAACCTTTAATTTATTATTTGCTAGGATACTGATAAACAATCTTTTGAGGATGTATTTTCGCGGGCTGCGAAATTCGTTCCCGAAATTGTGGAATCACTTTCAAATGAGGATCTCACGTATCTATATGCCAGATACAAGCAGGTCAGCGTTTTTGGAGTCATGATTTCAGGGCTTATGATGTTTGCCGTTTTCTATGAATATTTACTAATTTCTCTCCAAGTTATAATGCACTTTTGATTTGCACTTGGAAAATGGCGCCTGCTTCTCTAATAGTTCCTAATACGAAACAGTTAGAGTAGATTTGTTAGTGAGATTCGTCATCGCATTTTTTTGGCAAATTGCTGGTCATATGCTCTCGTTAATCTCTTTTTCAATCACCCTCAGTTCTCCCCAACCCCTTTATGCTAACTGCTGTTATACAATGGAGATTAGCTGGCATTCAACTCCTTGTATTCTACGTTTTCTATTTTGACTTCGGTTGTCTACTGTTAGTTGTTAACTATTGATCCTAATTTGGTTAAGGGGTTCTTTTCACTTTCTATTAGCTTTTGGTTTATTGGCGCAATTTCCAGGTAGCTTGCTTGAATTTTTGATAAATCAATTAGTAAATTATGCTGCTTACTAGACTTCCAAATTTGTGAGGATAAGTGTTGTTTCAAATTTGTAATCATTAATTAGGAGTAACGTTCAAAAATGTTGTGTGTGTGAGTTTCGTTTCTTCTGTATTAGCGTTCCGCTCGATTATACTTTAATTTTTTCCTTACGATCTTAAGATTATTACTAGGTTGAACTCAGAGTTCTAGGTGCTTTTCTGCTAGTCAATTTAAATAAAAATGGCAGTTGGATAGGTAGATATTCGTACATTAACTATTTCCCAGCCAATGGATTGGTTTATGGCATTTTCGCTCTGGCAAAGGGATTAATTTATAGTAGCTCCAGTGGTATAACTCCCTTCTATCCTACACTGTAAATATTTATTCTCAAAGTCAGCCTTTTTTCAATTGAGAAGGAGGTATCCCTATTTTACTATTTAGCCTAGATTTCATGAGTAGAAATGGTTTGGTGAGAGAATGTCCTAGTTTGGCTTACCCTTTGTGCATTCTAATTGTGCTCTTGTTCGTCAATTGAAAATATGTGGGCCTAGTTCTATTGTAAATTTTTTATGACAACATCAAAGGGGGGATCTTTTTTTATTTACAATCATTGAAATTCGGGTTATATTTACCCGCAATAATACTGATACTTTACAACTTTTGATTGTGGGAGGCGGTTGAAATCGGTTAAAAATAAACAGTCAAAATGAGTTATAAAGAAGACGGGATCAATGAGATGTCAAGAGCAGCAGCGCCAAGACACCAAAGAGTCTTATTTCATCTGATTCTTTTGGCTTACTTTCCCAAACCCGAATTTTTCGAATCATTCCTAGGATTGTGTCAAGGCTTTGTCAGCAATATCCATCTCTTATTCATAACCACTGGCTTGGTTGACGTGTACTTTGAACACTGCTCAACTACAGATTATTCGTTTAAATGTCTTGGATATCTTTCCTATCTTTCGAATATCTACTGATATCTTTCCTGTAAATTTTACAATTTAGCTCTGAGCTTTAGCTTTTAACGATGGGGTACTTTCATCCCATTATTTATTATAAATTCCATTAGGCAGTTTTTAAATTCATATAAGGTCACAGCTTGTCGTGTAAAGTAGGTTTTCATCGCCTATCCCGATATTATGTTGTACAGAGAATTTGATGATTCTGAGGTCTGGACGACTGAATACATTACTCCTCAATTTATCCGAAGGTAGATTACTATGGAACTTAATGTGTCAGAAATGAAGATGACATTCCGATAATTGATAAGTAAATTTTCTAATGCCAACTACCAAGCTTGTTAGAATTAGACTCTCAACTTCGCTGGCCAAACGGAAACCCCCCAGCACACAGAGTATATCAATTGGTGCTGAACCAGGAGTTCAGTGTGACCATTGGCTAGATCAGGCAACGCAGTCGTCATAGTCGACTCTTTTTACCATCTGCATTCTTCATATTTCTCTGCCCTAATTTTCATATTTCATTCATCTTTACACCAATTTTATAATGCGCCGTTAATAACTGTGAATACTCACATTTCAATTATATTTAACATTTTATAAGCGGATTTATTTTTTGGCCCAAACCTTCTGTATCACCTATTTTTCATAACGTGAAATTTGAATTTGTTAATCCTTCTGCGGAACCATTAGGAATTTTTCCTTTCTATGACCTCAACGTCTGAGTTACGACATTTTTGCCTAGGTAAAGGTCTTTAGACCGAATCGAATCACTAAGCCAAAACCATTTTTATGCTTGTCCCTCAAAGAGGCCACGATTCCGCGCAATTTTATCGATTTGTGCGAATCTAGTTAGCGCATTATCCGTCTTGATTTATTCGAAGTTCTTTTACCATTATTGGTAAGCTATTCACTGACAGGCATTTTGCAAACAGTTAATTTCTCACTTTTACTTGTTGCAAACGTATTCTGTTTTCTCAGGACGTTCTCGTGGTAGATTCCATTGATTAATATGGATAATTGCATCTAACTCTAATTAATTGAATACCCTTCTAGAAGTTCAGGCTAGTTTTCGAAAATCCGTTAGTTAAATTTCAATATGGTCAAATCTGATCCTACGTTTTTTAATGATTTCAATACCTTCTATCGATTAAAAATAAGTTTATTGCCTCTCCTATACGTTCCCAATTGCCAAAAGCTAAAATCTTTAAAAATTTATTATTAATTTTTCTCCTTATCTTAGGGAAAAATTTTAATCCGTTTGAAAGCGTTCAGGAAAGGAAGGGTAGATTGTTCAGTTTTAAGTGGGAGCTTTGGGAAGAACAAGACATTCTTATAACGAACCTAAAAATAGCAGAATAAACTGTATTTAATTTAATTTTATTAAATTTAATTTAATTTAATTTTCCAGAAAGAAGTTAAAGTCTACAAGCATTAATTCTTGGCTTTTGGCAGCTAACGCTGAAACCATATGCTATCGATCGTTTTCACCTAAACGGAGTATTGCGCTGCTATTGGTCACCTAAGAAATCAATAACGGTGTTACCGTTTTGTCTCTAAACTTCATTTATATCAATTGGCAGGCGTTTTGATAGTTATTATTAGCCCTTTAGTTGGCTTCCGACTTCACAGAGAGGAAGGAACATCAAGGTGAAAAAAAGTTGAGAGGGGAGGGAGGGAACAGAAGAGTGTTTCGAAAATGTAAAAGTTTTTTTCTAAACTGATTAGCTGCGGAAGTAAAATTTTTGTTCTCAAGATGTGTCTTCAGCTTGCCTAACTTCTAAATGAACATCAATCAAAGCAAGAAAATTAAATTCCAAACTAACATAGGTTATTTTTTTAAGCTAAATAAATTAATATGCAATTTTAATCAAATTAATTAAATGAGAGATATTTATTTATATCAAATGGCAGGCGTTTTGATGGGGATCATTACCCCTTTAGTTGACTCCAGGCTTCACAGAGAGGGGAAGGAACATCAAAGTGAAAAAAGCCGAGAGGAGGGGGGGGGGGAACAGAAAAGTGTTTCAAAGACGAAGGTAGAAAAAAGGTGAGGTGAGTACTGTGGAAGTTCTCGAATATGACATAGAGTGAGGTGAAGATAGTTTGAAGTGAAAATTCAACTGCCAGTAAATAGACTTTTTTGCCGTATGAGTATACGTTGCCCAGGGTGCACCATGTGGAGGTAAGTCTGTCGCACACCCCATGAGTAATATAATTTGATTAATGAGGTGTAAAAGCTTTCAGTGTTGCTTTTATGAAAGCTCAATCGAGGAACTTCAGTTCTATGAGCTTGAATTACAGTTGGTAATTCGGTTTTTACGACACATAGTGTGAGATATTCGAGTGTTTCATTAGATTCTAAATAATTCAATAGAGCAAGAAAACATAAATCTGGATGATTATGTGACTCTTATCTTTGGAGCTTAAAATTAAAATTATTTATAGTAATCAACTTTGTCTTCTTTTAAATAGACATGGGCGTTGCATAACAATGGTTTGTTTTATATTTACGAATACTTTTTATTGGTCTTCGTGTAACAGTTCATCTGCTTTTCTATTAAGGCCACTGAGGGTCCTTGCGACATACCGCAACCGGGATTTCTTCAGTATAAAGCTCGAGCAAAATGGTAGGCACAATTTTGTCCAACTTATTAAATTTAACCTCCTTAGGAACGCCTGGAAAGCATTAGGTGATCTTTCTGCCGAAGAAGCCATGAAGCAATACGTACAGAAGGTAACAGAGCTTGCACCTGATTGGACCAGCAAGGTATGTCTTAGTGTGACTTGTTCACAGAGTTACTTTTACGATGTGCAAGCCGATTTCTAGCTAGACAGAAGGCAACCACATGTTCTCTTTATCACTAGCGAAAAATGACCCCATATTAACTCCAACTGCGGGTTGTTTAGCATGAATCATAGTAATTCGCATTAAGAAATTTGGGGTTGTTGAGCTTTATTCTAATGGTAGTGGGAAGAAAACAAAATACATTATTACTTCGTCAAAGGACCATATTTAATAATTATTCATATTATATTTTTGCCTTGATACCTCTCTTTTTTAAGTTTCGCCTTCCTGTCAGAACTTCTTCAAATTCACTTGAAGTCCTTCTGTTGGTTTCATAATCCTTCCAGGCGACTTGTTGCATTACAGGGTTGTGAACAGATAAGTGATGGAGGATAAGTCTAATTTTTTTCTATGAGCAGATTTTCCATAAAGTCTTGCATGAGCGTCTAGGCAAAAATTCACGAAAACAGCTTGCAGACTTGATTTCATTTTACTGAGGGAGTTCGATCTAGATGCCTGGAACAGAATGCTGTCTTTACTACCATTCTCTAAGAAAGATCTTCATTCTGTCTCTTCAACAACATGCACTCTTGCTGGGTGCTTTTTTCCATGATGACTCCTCTGTGGATTTTTAGTCCACTTTGTCGAACAAGGTGGAATTCATTATAAAGCTAGCATTCAGTTG